GTTCCTTATTAGTTACATTTCTATCCAGCCTTTTCTCCTCTACCAGCTCTGGGTGGTGTACCTGCCCCCCCTTCCTCCCTTATCTTCACAACCACCCTGTGGAGTAGATCAGATTGGGATGGAGTGACTGGCCTCTGCGCACCTGGTGAGACGGAATTTGAACCCGAGTCTCCTGAGCGCTAGGTCCCCTTGGAGCATCTGCCACTGGAATCCATGTGTCTTCCGTCTGATCCCATGACACTCCTCATTTTGGATCCTTAATTTAGTTTTTAAATGAGCATCCATTTAAAATAGCCCCTGTTAAACTCTTCAGAATCTCTTGTACATTATATTCTGAATGACTTTATTGGTGTTGCTTTTAGTTTCCATCGCTTCTTGACTAAACCTCGCAAAAATCCCCACCCTTAAATAAACATTTAACAACTGAAAGCCCTTTGCAGTTCAGGGCAGAGAAACCTAGTGGTTGGAGCAGCTGGAAAGAAATCAGCCCAGATACCTAAATCCAAACCCGTCAAATTCCCAGAAATCAAGAGGGTGCCACCTCTGGTCTTCATCCTCATTGGACTATAACACATAAACCATTTCATAAGCATCTTAGGTTTACGCACAGCAAATTGCAACTTGCCTTAAGGATTTTAAGATCCAAAATGCTTCTTGTCCTTAAATTCCCATTTATCGTCTCCGTAGCACAGTCAAAAAGGACACCATTCATTTCAGATTACAGCCTCAGTGGCTTATGGGCTAAATAAATGATAAGAGCCTGGTTTTTGCAGATGTTATTAATCTCAAAACTCTGTGTCTATTAGATCTCTTCTCTTATTGCTGTAGCCATGCAAATCTGGGGTTAGCTTTTTTTTCTCCCAGCAGAAAAATGAGGATTTCCTCTCCCCCTTATCTCCTTGGAGCATGTACACAGACCATGCTCAAAATGGACTGTTATCAAAACCCACCAACGTCTTACAAAGACGGATGGGAAATATACAGTAATGTCAAGTACACCCAATTTCAGGCCTAGCTTTTCGGGTCCTTGAGCCGGCTTGCTGCCGATCCCTGCCAGCCACCGAAATCCCAAACAGTAGTGTCCCAGAGGGTTTTTCGGGCAGTCCAGAAATATTGAAGGTGAAACAGCCGAGACAGAGAGAGAGAGAGAGAGAGAGAGAGAGAGACAGCCTACGTCGGCAGAAATGGGAGCAGAGAGATTGTTCAGCTGGGCCAGACCAGACAGGAGACGAGCAGGAAGAAAAAAATCTTAAATTCTGCAGAGTCATGCAGGTGAAAAGAAACAACAGGCAGAAACACAGACCAACTGAATATATAATAATTCTGTATTATGCTATCTAATATATACTATAGATCACTTCAAAATATATAGATGTGTTCAATGTTGCTAAATTTGGAAGCGTTCGCTACATTTCTCAAAAACAACGTGTAGCTCCGAGCAACTCTTGGGCTTCTCTCCGTATCAAGAAACAAATAGGAAATAAATAAAATGTCAACAGACCAGACTCCGCTTTGTTTTTATCTCCAGCAGGGAGGGATTAAAAAAAAGAGAGAGGACTCTTAAATGGCCATTCAAAGCCAAGCCAACTGCTCCCCCCCCCCCCCGCTTTCCATATTTTGGATTATACCTTGCAACAACCCACTGTTTCTGGGAGATCCTGTTTCATCCCATGTGTTAGGAGGGTTGTAAGTATGATCAGAAGGAACAGGAGCACTTTGACCCTAACATTAATACATGCCTGCCACAGTGCTGTAAAAATACCACCATGTTGGGCACTGAGCAAATTGGACTGGGAAACTACGCCCATACTGGATTGTACAGTTAGCATGTCATTAGAAGCAGAGCTCTCTCAGGCAATAAAAGACATTTAGTTGTCCTAGCGTTAGCCTCCCTTACACCTTTTTTTGCAAATGAGCTGACTTTTATGTTGTGATTGGCCACTGGGAGATAAACACAGCCTTCATTTGCAAGTCAGTTGTTGCTTTGAAGGAACAGTGTGCCTGGAAGGAAAAGATACAGTAATCCGGGGAGAGACACATTTTCCAGATTGTGTAAATTGACCCTCATTATAAAGCAGCTTCTTATATTCTAGCATGTATGTTTTTCATGCATAATAATTCGGGTGCACACTTTAGCATCACTCAATGAATATCGAGGGCCTGATTAAAACTTCAGCCTGACAGCAAGCATTGTAAGTGGTAAAAAAAATAATGATGCTCTTTTATTAACTGAATGCTCAGTTCTGAGAAGCAGCAAACAATGAAACCTTGCAAATATACCATCACCAACAAATAGTAGAATTAAGGAAAAAATAATGTTTGAATACGATGCCACGGAAGACATCGGCACTGTAACAGGTATAGCGGATTTAGGCCAGTTTCACTGTATTTTTGCTATGGGATCATGGGAAATGTAGTCCTACTCAGTTGTAAAAGCCTAGCCCACCTTAAAGTGCAATTCTCTGGGGACAAAAAGAAAGCCAGTTGTAAATCTGTAGCAGCAAATTACTCTTGGAGTATATGACACCAGCCGGAAATGGTGACTCCAGTTTCAGGGTTGCTGTGAATCCGCTCCAGATTTTAACTTGCATGGAATCCTTTCCTTCAAATACTTTCAGCACCTTGGAAAACCCTGCGACCTACAGATTAAAACCTGGGAGTGGATTCACAGCCCCTCTGAAATGAGTGTAGGAGGGCTGTAACATGCTGCCACCTTAAGCCTCAGCTTTCCTGGCATATAACCGCTGGAAGGAATACTGAGATAATGCATGTAACTCACTCATGAACGCTCCTAAAGCAATGTACAAATGCAGAACTATTATACAGCAGCAGTAATTAGAGGGTGGGAGTCGAGAAATTAACCCAGCCTCTGCATCTCAAACAGCCGGGGTTATGTCACCTGCCTGTAAACTTAAAAGCAAAATACCCTTTCTCTGTGCACTTATACTGTGGTTCTAGGATAAAAATGACACTATTGGCCGGTAACATTTTTAACGTAAACCAACTAAGGGGAAAAACTGCCTCTCCATATAAGACTTCCAGCTGCAAATGAGTCACTTGCCGATTTGGGTGCCGAACCGTTCTGTGCTACTGCAAACCTGGCACATGTTTGCACCCAATAGAGACGGATCCAAAAGAAGGCAGGTAGCCAACTTTTCTCCCCCAGCTTTTTATTTTTTTTCCCCCTGGTCCCCCAGGAACACTGGACGCCGAATTATTCATTACAGCCTCTTTGATTCTGCGCCAGCTCCGTCCCTGCAGAATTTTTCACGGGAAAGCCAAACATCCCGCCCGCCTGCTGAGAAACCTGTTTCCCAACCCAAAACATTTTTTGCTGATTAAAACAACAACAACATTTAAACGATTTCCCCTTGGCTCAGAAGCACAGGTTATGTAAGGATTCCAATCCCCCAATCCCCCCCTTTTTCCACTTATTCAAGTGGAAAATAAAAACAACCAAAAAGGAAAAGAACAGAGGAAGAAATGATAGGGCCACCCCTCATTCTTTTTATAGATCCAGAATATCAAAATGAAGGCACTATGAAGGCATGACTCCAATGGGCTTCCATCGCTCTTCTTCACCATTGCTTTTGAATTCATAATAAATTCACTATCATGACCTCCCTACTTCCAGATGCTCTTTGGCTTAACAAACGTAGATTCTTCTCGTTTTTTTCTTCAGTCCATCTCATCCAGAGTGCTACTCTGGAAATTAGTCCGTTTGCCCTTTTTCACCTTCCCCCCACCTTTTACCCAGTGAAGCTAATTAGCAAACGAAGAATCATGCAGGGGGAGGGGTCAAACTTTTTGAAACTTGGCGCAGAGGGAAAATCTGGCAAAATTGTTCTAGAGGGGGGGGGGGTTTCAAGCTTTTTGAAACTTGGCGCAGAGCGAAAACCTGGCAAAATTGCTTCTAGGAAAGAATTACTACTTTCCTGGGTCTTGCAACTGATCAGGTATTAGCGAGCTGCTTCAAACCACGATGGACCAGCTTCCCTTACCTTCAAAGGTAAACAGGGGGAGAGGGAAATGCGAAGGAGGCAAATTCTGTTGCCCTTTAAAGGCTAATGGATTTATTTCAATGTGAGCTTTAGTGGCTCAAAAAATCCACTTATTCACACGCAGGACGTGCAAATGTGTGTCTCCGTGGGAATCAATTGCAGAGTTTTCTGTGGCTTGAACAAAGACAATCAAGGGAAGATGGTTATTTAAAACCCATAAGCTATTACAGAAACCTGAGTGACCAACATATGACATGCACTAAAAAGCTCCAATCTCTGTTTAGGCCTTTGGAGATAACACTGGAACTTGTTTCTGTAGCCAGCCTCTTCAGAAGCAAAGCACATTTATATCACTTCCACTTGCAGGTTGATGAGATCAAACCATTCCTATAAGGTTTCAGAATTCCTCCCTCATCCCTCTGAAGGAGGACAGCCCTGAGGTGGGGCAAAGGGACAGGCTGCTGTGATCAGGGGGTGCCATTAAAGAGTAGTCAATGTTAAGTCCCAAATCCCATGACTTATGCAATTGTACAAAGGCAGGCCATCTGTTGATCTGTTTCCTTGGCTTCCCATCCGGTGCTTAATTGTTGCAACCGACCGGACGACTGATCAGGTGACAGACAGCCCAGAAACTGTGGAAGCCGCTTGTGTGGTTGGTTGTCTTTCCATGCACAATTTTTTTGACCACTAGACTTTGATCTAAATTACTCTGCTTGTACTTCAACTTCCAGATGCAAAGGAAGTATTTTGCATCCAGTGCAGAAATAACTCAAGTCTTGGACATAGCGCACCTTGACAGAGGCAGGTGAGTAAAATATGCTAGCCTGCCTCAGGCAGCAAAACATTGTGGGTCCGTCTCCCAAACCTGTACACCCAATCCTCCCTTCTAAAATTCTCGGTTTCTATGTTAGCCTTATCAGCCCTCTGCTACAGACCGATGCAAGCGGCATCATTTGAAAGGTGTCAGGCAGGAAGGTGTGGTTTAAAAGAACCGCTGTTGTGTGATATTTCTTGCTTTTAATTCTTTAGTGTCAGGATTTAGAAAACCGCACAAGACGCAGATATATCTTTCAAAACTGATTTTAAAAATAATCATGTCTATTAGAAATCGAAAAGGCGTTTGACTGCCCTCTGGAGGAAGGCAGGAGAAATGCAGAGTCAAAACAGAAGAGTCAGCCTTCCTAGACACCGGGTGTTCCCTTGGCTGTGCTGGACAAGCTGGCTAGGGGGTGATGGGTGTTGTAGTCCATGCACAGCGGAAGGACACCAGATTGGGAAGGCTGTCCTACCATCCACCGCTATGGAATTTTGTTTCTGAGATTTTTTGTGCATCCACCAAGGAGTCTAAAGAACCGAACCAATTCAAGAGGGAATTTCCTTGCTCAAAACTGCACGTTTCAGGCAGTCCCCAGTAACCAAATACCGAATTTGAAGCCCTCACTTGCTGAGTGAGAATTTGTCCCCTGATGTTATAGTTTCCCCCCCTCCAAAATCAATGGGAGAAAAATATTATCGGGAATAAAATGAAAGCAGAGGACCTTTGCTACAGAGATCTGGTTTGGAGAAGCCAGGTTGAATAAGCACAAGATCTTAACAATCCACCATCGAGAGGTTTTGTACAAAAACGTTCAACAAGGATATCAGGAGAAAAGTCAGGGGGGAAAAACAGCCCGTGGAGAAAGAGAGAAAGTTAATTTAAGATGCCAGAGGGAAAGCTAGAATTGGTGTCAACATTAGGGTTTTTCGTTAACAGGAAAATGATGAATGGCACCACATAATGCAACGACTCACCAGGCTTTTTTTTTTTTTAAGATACCGATGGCTCCAATCCATCTTCAACTCAGAATTCTGCCAAAAGCGGTAATAAAATGCAATGAAATCGCCTATGGCCAATTAAACCCAAAGGTAGGCATTGCCAGAGACCGAACCATCATCCGACTAAACAGAAAGTCCGACTAGACGGGGTCAGCTTTTGCTACAAATCCTGGGGAGGTGATTGGCCGTGGAATGGGGATTATGGGAGTTGTAATCCAACACAGCCGGAGACTACAGTGGTCCCTAGTGGTAACGCAGGGGCAAGCTAGAGCTGTAAAAGTGACTGATTTGGACAGCAACTCCCGAAAACCTTTGTTGGCAACACTTCCAGACGTTTTAGTCCAAAAAAAGTAACTTCCTACCTCACTGTTCCTCTTTCCAAGGTGTACCTATTGTTGGTTCTCTGGAAAAGCCACCTTTGACGGTTCAGCGTCCGAAGGGCTTTGCCCGTCCCTCTTTCTGAAGTTGGCAAACGACAGCACGATCTGTTTCCGGGCCACGCAGATCTGCCTGCTGCAAGCTTTGAAGGAGGGCCGGCAGCTTTTGGGAGGCTGCCCGGTCTGGCCGGCAAAGGCCTCCTCCGGACCCGCCTGCAAGGGCAGACCGCTTTCGTGGCTCACGGAGCGGCCAAACCGCCGCCCCCCCTTGCGCCTGGGAGGGCTGGACCAGGAGGATGAGAGGCGCTGGAAATGGAGGGTCAGGCGCTTCAGGACGCTCGGAGGGCCGTCGTGGAGGTTAACCACCGGAGAAAGGTGGGCCTCGGATGCCTCGGTCATGGAGAGAAGTGGGCCTCGGGGCAGGTCACAAGCCCCGTTCTCCAGGTGGCCGTCCACACCGCCGTCCGCCAGCGTCACGTGAATCTCAGGAACCGTCACCGGCCTCACGCCTGTCATGGCGACATTGGCCGGAGGCAGAGGGGGCCCCGTTGGGCCAGACCTTGGGGCCTCGTGCTCTCCAGCGCTGAGGGGAGCCCCGTCCGGAAAAAAGCCCGTCTCCCTCTCCTCAGCGGCTTTCCTGGTGGACAGATCCTCAGGCCAACTCAAAGATCGGCGTAGGGAGGGATGGTTCGGAAAACCGTCCGAGTGGGGGCTCAGCCCCACGACGCACTTACATTTCGCAACAGCATTCGGGACGCCTGGATTCGTGGAGGGAGGGGCGTTTCTGTTGGATAAGCCATTTGGAGACCCTAAAGAACAGTAATAAGGAGGAGGTGAAAAAAGACAGCAACGACAACTGGGTAGCCCCATTAAGTTCCTTGGAGCACAAAAGGAGTCCTCAGGCACCCAGAGTCTGGTGGCACCTTAGAAACTGGCAGGTTTTGTTTGCAGTAAGCCTTCGTGGGCTACAGCCCACGTCGTCAGAGGCAAGAGGCATCTAGCCCTCGTGCGGAAATCTTGTCTCCGCTCTGGATTTTTCTGCAACAATTGGAAAAGGTGCCGAAGCAAAAACAAGACAAAACACCGCTCCCTTTTAGCAAATGAGGATAGTTCGGTGGGGTAGGTCTCTTGTTGTTCAGCCAGAGGTTGGGAGTTCGATTCCCCCCAGTGGTTGAGAAGAGCCAGCCCGGGTGGCCTTGGGAAAGCTGTCCACAGTCCCAGGGCTCCCCCTAGAGGAAGGGAAGGGGAAACCAACGTCTGAGTGCTCTCTGCCTTGAAAACCCTGAAAAGGGTTGCCATGAGCCTGAATCAATTTGACACCACAAGATTACTATTATGGTGATTTTGGTTGAAGTACCCAAAAAGCTTGCACCAAACGGACTCCGATAGCTTCCGATGGTTCCCCAGATAGCATTTGAGGCAGTAAAGCCGTCCCACGCTCTGTCGTGCCTCTCCCGGTTACCTCCACTGGCAGGACGTGGGAAGCCACCTCACCTTTTTCCATTTCTCTGGGCTCGCAGGACTGTGACTGGGCTCATCTCGGCTGCAAGGCCAGGCCTTCCCGTCCCTCCGCCACCTTCGTGAGAAGCCAGCCGCCGGGTTCTGCTGCTTTTGGAGAAGTGGGAAGTGGCTGCAAGGCAGAGGAGAGAACAAATGAATGAGCAAGGAAGGGCCCAACTGGGTACAGTATTTATTTACCTGAGCCTGTCTGCCTTCTCCCATCCAATCCATCCATCCATCCATCCATCCATCCATCCATCCATCCATCGCTCCTCCCTCCCTCCCTCCCTCCCTAGCGGCTGAATCCAATACTAGCGTCTAGCCCTCTGCTGCCCCCTGTGGGTCGGGTCAGGAAGTGCAGAACGATAAGAGCAGGCTCGTGACCCCAGGCGGGGCCCTTGCCAGAGTCTCTCACTTCAGAACGAGGCACCAGATCTTTGCTGCCATCCATCCATCCATCCATCCATCGCTCCTCCCTCCCTCCCTCCCTCCCTAGCGGCTGAATCCAATACTAGCGTCTAGCCCTCTGCTGCCCCCTGTGGGTCGGGTCAGGAAGTGCAGAACGATAAGAGCAGGCTCGTGACCCCAGGCGGGGCCCTTGCCAGAGTCTCTCACTTCAGAACGAGGCACCAGATCTTTGCTGCCGCGGGAAAAGATCCGCAAGGATTTGCGCCCCTTGTTCTTCCGCTCAAAGGATGTTGGGGAGCAGCAGGGGGGAGTGTGGACAGAGTGTTTTCTGAAAGGAAAGGAGGGGAAGGGAGTACAGTAGTCATTCCAAGGCTTAGAAGGTCAACTTTAAACAAGCCCATATTACGCTACTTATTTCAGTAAGACCGTGTTATCTGGCATCCACAGGGGATTGTTCCCAAGCCCTCCCAGCGGATGCTGAAAAACATGGAAGTATTGAAGGTGATACATTCCATGGTCTCTGTCTCCCTCTTGGGGCCAGTTCTGATAACTACACCCTGGAATATGAATAGGTATTTCTGGGTTATTTAATTTAGTATTTTCAGCCTGTGGATAAGTGAATCAGCAGATACTGATCCTGTGGATTGGGCGGGGGTGGGTTCCTACTGCAGTTTGTTCAGGTTTCAGCCCATTATCATTCCTGCAGCTTGTGAAAGTAGTTCGTTATATTGCCCGTTATATTGCACCGCACCCCATGGAAAGTGCCCCGGGCTCCTCACCTCTGAGAGTGTTTCCCGCCACCACTTCGTCTCCTCTGAACTTTCCCAGATGGGGCTCGCGGGAGGTCTGGCCTTGTGTCAGAGACTGGAGTTGAGTCATTGCTGGAGAAAACCGGAGTAGCGGTTGTAGGAACTAAGTTAGCAGAAGAAGAGAAAGACAACAGAGTGACTGCATTTTATGAGCATTTATTTAGATTCCTCCCCCCTCTTTTTCTTTCTGGAACCAAATGATCTTATTACGTATTAATATTAGGGCTAGACCAAGCCATCCAGGACTTCATGCCCAATACATCAGCTACCTTTTAAGCAACAAATCCAGAGATAAAACAGATAGCCGCTTATTTACGGTCTGGATTTGCATAGTATAATACACATTACAGGGAGCATGCCCTGCTGCATTACAAGGAACACAACACCCAGCGCATCAGATGAAACTTTTTGAACCCTGCCTGCATCCCACCCAATTGATATTGGTGTTGCCTTGTCTGATGAAACATTCTGGAGAATCTGAAAGCTTGCATCACCTTCACACCACATGGGCAACCTTTGAGTGATTCTAAGGAAAGGTCTTGCCCAACTTTGCACTTTGCTGTTCCAGGTATAAGGAGCCCTATAGTGAACAAGAATTCTGCTTTAAAGGTGGAAGAAATATAATGACCTTGGACAGGATTCAAATCTCCTGCTTCATCCGGTGGATCCCTGCCATTCCCATCAAAGGGTTCTGAATTGGCCGAATCCAGGATTGACCGCCTGGAAGAGGGGAAAAGTGATTGTGGTATGCTTTTCATTGTTCAGCCACTGTCTCATATTCCTGCTTCTATGCACAGGATGTCCCCATCATCTTTATTTTTACATTGCTTCCTTAATCATTCTTGGAAAGGGTTAGCCACAGGTCAAGGGACACACTGCACGGTTCTGATATTAAGCCAGGGTTAACCTACAGAAGTTTCTCTGCTTCACAGAAGTCCTCCTCAGGTAGGATTGCCCTACGCTGAAGATGGTCACACTCTTCCTGTGAACACGAGGAAACAACAGGCCCGGTTTATTTTCCAGAGGATGAGAAAGCCGTGGAAGCTTGTAGGACGGAGACGGAGAACAGGAAGGTTGGTCAAACACCCGAAAGAGCAAGAACAGAATCACGGCCGACCCTCCTGGTGTAAATGGGCCACCCACCTTGGATCATTGCCTCTGTCAACAGGTTTCCAACCTAAACTGCCAGATATCCACGGAGAAGCAGAAGGCATGTCCTATTCGGGCAGTGATGACCCAAAAGGATGCCGGGGTTGGTGTATCAGACTGAGAGATGGGAGATCCAGGGTCATAGACCAGCTGAACCTTAATACTCATTGGGTTGAGTGTCAGCCAGTCCCTTTTCAGCTTTGATCTACCTGGCAGGGACATTGTGGCAGTGTGGATGTCCCCAAAGGCTGCCTTGAGCTGATGAGAAGAGAGACCGCCCGCCCGCAAGTCAACAACCCCTACGGGGTTTCAAGGGGGTGCCTCTGTCAACAGGTTTCCAACCTAAACCGCCAGATATCCACCCCTACCTCTTCTTGGCCGAAAGCTCCGTGGTCCAGCCGACGTCATCGGAGGCTTTCCTCTTGGAGTTGAAAGAGGTTTTCAGAGTCATGTTATTACTCAAGGCATCTGGGATCGAAAGAGAACCATTTCAAGGAAAGGTCGGACCCCATGTTTGGGAAATTCCACTTTTTCTTTGGTCGTCGCAGTCTCGGTTGGGTGGCTGGAGTCAGAGACGACAACGCCCGAGACAATGTTCCTATCAGGGGCTTAAATGCTGCCCTACCAAAATCTGCACCTTTTAAGACCATCACCACCACCACCACCCACGCAGCAACTGAGAAATCATATCAGTGTGTCATTCTTTTCGTGCTGCATTCCCCAGTGAACACAGCCCTTGGCCTCTTCCAGGTTTACCCTCCCTGCAACCCTGTGCGGTTAGCCGTGCAGAAAGGATGAGCGGCTAAGCCCAGGATCGGACCTCCGGGTTCATTTTCCAGAGGCCCCTTCAAGCATTTGAACCATGATACCACCATCCTTTCCCCAGCAGCCAATTGGATGTCAGCACCGACGTAATTTTTTTATCTGTTTTGCCATCGGTCGGCCTGGGACCTTTTAACATCAACCAGCTTCGACTTGGTGCTGTCAAAATGCATCGCCCTCCGAACGATCCCACACTTAACATCAACCAGCTTCGACTTGGTGCTGTCAAAATGCATCGGAGGACAGCCCTCTGAATGATCCCACATCCTGGATACAGGATTCTAGGGAACTCTTAAGCCCTTCGGAAAGAGCAGCGATTCCCAACTGTGGGTTTCCAGATGTTCTCGGACTGCAACTCCCTGAAATGCTGGTCAGCACAACTAATGGTGAAGGATTCTGGGAAGTTGACATCCAAGGTTGGGAACCACTGAGAAAGAGACCTTCCTGACCTTAAAAAAAGAGGACACACCAAACTCCCAGAAATCCTGGTCAGCATAACTAATGGTGAAGGATTCTGGGGAGTTTGAGTCCAAGGACATCCAAGGTTGGGAACTATTGAGAAAGAGAACTCTCTGACCTTAAAAAAAGGACACACCGCCACCCTATCCTGCTGCAATCCATTTACAGTATGTAATTTGGACCTATGGTGTACAGATTTGCAGGAGGTTTTTGGACTACATCTCCCAGAATGCCTCACGCAGCACTGGGAGATGTGGTCCGAAACCTAAAATCTGCACCATCCTAGGACTCACCGCCTTTGATCTCCGGGCAAGGAGCTGTGCAAAGGGCGCGGCCAGTCTTGAATTTGCTCAAGGCCTCAGTCACGATGTCTACGAGGAAGAAGGGGTGTGTGTGAAATAGTGGGGTCTCAAGAAACAAGGTGACTCTTGCACCCTCATCAAGCCATTTCATCCTCAAAAAGGATTCTGCCACACTGTCCAGATTAATCTTACAGTATCCCCATATCCATGGTGGTTTGGTTCTAAACCCCACCTACTCCCGTGGATGCTGAAAAACACGGATTACAGTACAGTATAGTGAACACCAGATTAACAAATGTCCCTATAGCCATGGTCTCTGGTGCCCTCCAGTGGCCATTTCTGGTAACTTCACCTTTGCCAGTGGCCATTTCTGGTAACTTCATCTTTGGACAAATATATTTCCAGGAATTTTCTTTTTAATATTTTTAATATGTTGAGTCCGTGGATAAGTGAATCAGTGGATACTGATCCTGCAGATATGGGGGCCCTACTGTCCTTAAAAGCAATGCAGTTTCGGATGGTTCATTACATGTTATATGTTTTTTTGGAAAAAAAGTACGTCTTATGGTGCGAAAAATACGGTATATTTCCAGAAATTTTCTTTTTAATATTTTAAATATATTCAGTCTGTGGATAAGTGAATCAGTGGATACAGATCCTGCAGATATGGGGGCCCTACTGTCCTTAAAAGCAATGCAGTTTCGGATGGTTCATTACATGTTATTCAAAGAGAGGCAGGTCTGTATCGAAAGACAAGGCAATGATTTGCCTGCTAATTCGGAAGTACAGACATGAAATTAGCGACGATTCCCTTTCTTTACACGGAACTGCAGAACAAACTCACTCGAGTGGGCAAGACCGTTTGTGTGTTGTCCAGGTGTGGCTACTTGTGGATCGGCAACTTTAATGTCTCTGATTTCTTTCTTATATATTTTTTAATATTTAAATCTGAATTAGGCCAAGACAGGTTTTCAAAGAAAGCACCTTTAAAAAAATGGGTCTGGGCTTTTTGGCCACCCTGGATGCAAAATGCTTCCAAGAGGCATTATGGGATGGAAGCTGAGTAGCCATGAACTGCTTGCTCTATGAATTGCCAATGCTTTAAATGTTAGGAACGCGATGCTTGGCTCGAGTCTCGTTATTGCATTCATCTCAATGTCCAGCAGCCCCTTTCTAAGACAAAAAAAAAAAAAAAGCCAAATTGCAGAACAGCTTGAAGACAAAGATTGGAACTCAAGAGCACTGGGCATAGCTTGAAAGTGCGCGTTACCAAGTTAATTACCAAATGGAACATTTTTCTGTCTCCAAGCTGGCTGCCAGACAAATCTGAGCTGCAACCTTTTGGCACAGTTTGGACGGAATTAGTTAAAAGGCTACCTGCAGAGAGCACCTATTGGCTAGCACCTGGAGCGTCACCCATAAGAATCCGATTTAATTGGTTTTTGTAAAAGGAGAATAATGGCAAATTCCTAATACATCACTTCAACTTCCAAGGTTAGATCAGGAAACGTGGACCACCGCAACACAGAAATAGGTCGGTGTGAGGAAAATGCTCAATTCTAACAAGCCCTCTTAGGATATGCGATTTGTCTGTGTACTTACTGCCCATGCTGCGTCGTCTCCTCCTCCTCCCTTCTAGGCCCCTCCCTCCGGGATTTTCGGGCTCGGGAGGGGGCTGCCCCTTCTCGCTGTCCAGATCTGAAAAAGCCGCTCTGACTTTTTCCAGGAGAATTTGAGGAACGGTGCCTGAGAGTAAAGGAGGGAGGGGAATCCACAACAATATTCAAAGACAGTGCTTCGTATCTAAATCGTATGATCCGTATCTAAATAAAGACAGAACTACCGCTCGGCAAAAATTTTTAGATCGGGCTTGGCTGGCTAGGGACGATGGGTGTTGTCGTTCAGCGTCTCAGAGGAGGACACTCGTTCAGGAAGGATGTTTTTGAGATCAGCGATCAGCTTCCAAAAGGGTGGAAATAAGTAGTCGCTTGTGAAATCCTTCAAGACGGCAAGTGAACAGGCAGCGACAGTGAGGAGGAGGAGCACAATTAGGGGCAGAATAACACAGATTGGGGCCCTTGGTTGAAGTTGAACCCATAAATCCTGTTCATTCGGCAGCCAAGAGGGCATGACAATCCCATCTCCACCCAGGAGGTGGCAGCACATGCACAAGCTGCTTCTGGTTCTCCCCTTTCCTGCTGCATCATGCGCGGCATAGAATGTAAAAGCCACACACACCAGCACTAGTTCACACAGCCTGCAAAAGTTACTTTTTTGGAACCACTCTTGCCGTGACCCTCTTAGAGGGGCCGTGCTCCAATGAAGCAACTTTTCCAGATTTGGCCCGAGGGGTTCATGGCAACCTGGCTGCACCAAGGGACCGGCCTCCCCTTCTCCCGGCAGGCCACGCTCCAGACCAGAGGGATCCTCCGCCCTTGGCGAAGCCGCACCACGGGGACTTACCGATCTCCGAGGCACGGCTGATCAAAACCTGAATGACAGCTGCCTGCCTTTGCAGCTGGCCTTCCGCTCGGCTGCCCAGCTGGCCGCAGGGTTCGGCAGAGAAGAGGTTGGGGGCGAAGATGATGGCCAGGTTGGCCAAATCCATTTTGTTCTGAGTGCACCTGAAAAGAAAACCTGAGGAAGATGAGAAACCTGGCCCTGGGCATCAACGAGCGCCAGCACACGGAGAACGAGAGGAATTGTGGCCGATTTCCTTCCCAAGGAAGGTTTTTTGGCCAAGGTGGGGTAGGGTTGGGGTCGCTCTTGAAAGCCTCCTAAGCCAGCCTCCTAAGCCAGCCTCCTAAGGAGGCTGCATCTGGCCTGCAAGCGGCCCATCTAGCCACTCCTGCAATAGAGGCTTCCTAGAAGAGATGGCCAGGACGGAAGACGGTTGCAAACCAGAAGAGATGAGATTATTTGTTTATCTCGCCCAGCGTGGTTTTAATCTAATGGCCGCCCTCCAGGATCCTGGAGAGAGGAAAGGGCCTTTGCAGTCACCTAGAAATGACAAGGGGCCAGATCTTCTGGTGGCAGAGCAGATCTCCTTTGCAGAGTTTGGAAATGTGACTTTCTTTCTTTCTTTTGACTACAACTCCCATAATTCAGCCCAGTCACATTTTCAAGACCAAGAGCTTTATCACTGAGCGATCGCCCCCATGGTGATGATAACACCTTTCCGTTTCAGCCAGGAGAGCTTGCGACCACTGGGAGGTCTGCTTGTCTTTGCTATCCTTTGCCTCCCTTACAACAAATTTTAAGCACACAACAATTGTGTTTCTTTTCTTGGAAATCCACAAAGGAGCAAGATGAAGAATCAGATCGGTAGGCAAAACTTGGAAATCCCCTTTAAAATACCTAGTAACCAGGAAGCGTTGCTCATTACACCCAAAAACTAAGGGCGATCCTCTTTTCTGCCTTGCTTCCAGAACGTAACTGTGTTCTGCCTTTTGAACACCCCTGTTCGGGTTCTCTTTGGAAGCAGTTTCATTTTAATGTCATTTCCTGTTGCGGGTTTCCATGGGAGATAACAAAAGGCACAACAAAATCACATTGCGGAAGGAGTGCAGAAAGCAGGACCACAGCTTGCCAAAGTTGCTTTTCGGGATTCCTGTCCAAAGCTCCTCCAGAAAGCATAAACCCAGCGTCCATCTAGAGCCGTGGTTCCCGACCTTGGAGGAAAAAAAAAAACCAACGTGTGTTCTGGAACTACAACTCCCATACATCCCGGTCGGCACAGCGAGGAGCCGTGGTTCCCGACCTTGGAGGAAAAAACCCAACGTGTGTTCTGGAACTATAACTCCCATATATCCTGGTTGGCACAGCGAGGGGGGAAGGCTTCTGGGAGTTGCAGTCCAAAAACACCGGGGTTCCCCCGAGGTGGACGACCACCGGGTGATGTGTTACAGTCTTTTAAAAAGCAACTTGTCCAGATCCTTGGCGATACAGGTCTGGCCAAGGAACAGTGGACGCTGGGCGTTCTTTCCTCCTTCCCACAGACCCACCTGGATGCCACATCTTGCAGGAAGCAGAACAGGTAGCGAAGGACGGCTGCGCTTTTCGGGGGCAGCAGGCAGGTGAGGAGGAGAGCCAGTGAGCCCTGGTCGGCCTCCTCCTCCTCCGGGTCTCCTCTTTGCTGGGTTTGGCAGAGAGGCCCCTGAAGCGGGGCCGGGATCAGGGGCTCCGGCAGGTCCCTCAGGAACTGTTTGACAAGGGTGGCCACGTCGCACGGCAGGGCCATCTCCAGGCAGCGCTCGCCGGCTTCCAGGCGCCTCTGGGAAGGACGGGAGAGGCAGGTGGTTACCTGAGATGAATCAAACCCTCGGCAGCAGATCAACCTTTTCTACTTTTCCCCGCTCTGGGTTTGGCAGAGAGGCCCCTGAAGCGGGGCCGGGATCAGGGGCTCCGGCAGGTCCCTCAGGAACTGTTTGACAAGGGTGGCCACGTCGCACGGCAGGGCCATCTCCAGGCAGCGCTCGCCGGCTTCCAGGCGCCTCTGGGAAGGACGGGAGAGGCAGGTGGTTACCTGAGATGAATCAAACCCTCAGCAGCAGATCAACCTTTTCTACTTTTCCCTGCTTGATGCTACAGCAAAGGGACCAGAAGCAAAGTGTAGCGTCGATACACGCACAACCCATGAGGCTTAAAGCATTCTCTGGACAGTTTGCCATTTATTTATACAGGCTACACCTGGCTGACCCCCAACTCCCCCACCCACCCAGCGGGCTGGGTCCCCAGGTTACCAAGGCCTCGGAAGGATGGAAGGCCGAGTCCACCTTGAGCCGGCTACCTAAGCCGGTTAGGATTGAACTCAGACCCTGAGCTTAATCGTGGCTTTTGCCAAGAACCGAGCTCAGAAAAATGTCCAGGGGGGTTAGCGCGAGGTGTTATCATTCTGTCGTTTCGAACAGCTGAACCAAGAGTTTGTTTTGCGAATCGCTATAGCGATCGCAAAAAGCCAATGTCTAGCGGGGTAACTGTCTAGTGAGGCACCACTGTATAAGCAAAGGGACCAGAAGCAAAGTGTGCCATCGATACACACACAACCCATGAGGCTTAAAGCATTCTCTGGACAGTTTGCCATTTATTTATACAGGCTACACCTGGCTGACCCCCAACTCCCCCACCCACCCAGCGGGCTGGGTCCCCAGGTTACCAAGGCCTCGGAAGGATGGAAGGCCGAGTCCACCTTCAGCCGGCTACCTGAGCCGGTTAGGATTGAACTCAGGCCCTGAGCTTAATCGTGACTTTTGCCAAGAACCCAGCTCAGAAAAATGTCCAGGGGGGGTTAGCGTGAGGTGTTAGCGTTCTGTCGGTTCGAGCAGCTGAACCAAGAGTTCAAACACCCGCTGTGTTCCCTTGAGAGAGCCGCGACGTGGAGTGGGAGTGGATGATGGGATGCCACGCACCTCTTGGGAAAGCGGCAGAGCCCAAGGCATAGCCCCCAACACAGAGACCAATAAACAACGTCGTAATATTTAGGTGTAAGAAATCCCTCTCAGGACCAGCACAGATTCGACTAATGGTGGCATCTCGTGTCATCCCGGTCGCCTGGTGCAGGAAAACATTCCCAAGAACTTTGTGGCCTCTTGAAGGCTACAGTCTCCCGGTTGGCATCATCCTTCACAGACTGTAGCCCACTTTTCAACACAGAGACCAATAAACAACGTCGTAATATTTAGGTGTAAGAAATCCCTCTCAGGACCAGCACAGATTCGACTAATGGTGGCATCTCGTGTCATCCCGGTCGCCTGGTGCAGGAAAACATTCCCAAGAACTTTGTGGCCTCTTGAAGGCTACAGTCTCCCGGTTGGCATCATCCTTCACAGACTGTAGCCCACTTTTGTCAGAGGCCCAAGAACTTTGTGGCCTCTTGAAGGCTACCATCATCCTTCACAGACTGCAGCCCACTTTGGTCAGAGGCAGGAGGAGCGTGGCCTCAAGGAGACCGGCATTTAATGAAACACTGAAGGGGAGGGATATGAGCTGGAACAGCATCCGCATCACCATCATCCTAAGGGCATTTAGCTTTTAGCAGGCACCGGGAGATGATGAGCAAACAGCTTAGCAGTCGCCATTCAAAGGTCATTTGTGTAAATACGGTACACACTAACCCCACAGAAAACAGCCTATTGCCTGCTTAGGGTCAAGTCGTTCAAGCTAAGGCATTCCTTGTGGATCTTTGAGCTTCCCAAGACCCTCTGAATCCACCACCCCCCAATCTAAACAAAGTCTGATCCTCCAAAAGGCACATATATATATATATATATATCCCCACATGATTTCAACTGCTGAAATGTTCCATAGGGGAAAGGAGAGGCAGGAGGAGCGTGGCCTCAAGGAGATTGGCATTTAGCTAAACACTGGAGGGGAGGGATATGAGCTGGAACAGCATCCTCATCACCATCATCCTAAGGGCATTTAGCTTTTAGCAGGCACCGGGAGATGATGAGCAAACAGCTTAGCAGTCGCCATTCAAAGGTCATTTGTGTAAATACGGTACACACTAACCCCACAGAAAACAGCCTATTGCCTGCTTAGGGTCAAGTCGTTCAAGCTAAGGCATTCCTTGTGGATCTTTGAGCTTCCCAAGACCCTCTGAATCCACCACCCCCCAATCTAAACAAAGTCTGATCCTCCAAAAGGCATATATATATATATATCCACATGATTTCCACTGCTGAAATGTTCCATAAGGGAAAGACCCCAGATTGCCATGTTTTAAGACAGGCAGAAAAGTTCAAGAGGATGGACTAAATTTGGGAGGGGGGGGCGATATGATGGAGCCTTCCGCTAGCCTTTAAAAAAAATGCCCTTTTCCTCACCTTCTGGATGTTTGTGCAGAGGCAAGAGAGAGAGAAGGGCTGTTAACACATTATTTATATATATATTACTGGCAAAAGGATTGCTTAAGTTCCTCTCTTGAAGCAACCGCTCCCCATCGGCATTTCAACACCCCTTCCCTACGTCATCCGCTGCTGGCAGGACGTTGGCGTGCAGGGGATGGGAGAGACAGAAAACAGGTCTCGGGGGACAAGGGTCAGAAATGGGGCAGGCTGGTCTGCCATAGGTCCAGGTATCTGATTTAATACCTGTTTATTTTATTTTACAGAGGGTCTAACCCAAAATTTGGGCAGGCATACCAGTACTTAAAGCAGAGGATGGGGAAGATGGGTGGATGGAAAGAACAGTCCCTAAAATTCCCCTAGCAATTAGTCATACAGTACAGTACGTGCTTGGGGATTCTGGTAGCTGTTGTCCAAATGTAACTTTTCTACATTTTCTAAGCCCTGACGATGCCATGTCAGCACCTCCTGCAAACCTACTGTGCCACAGTTGTTTTGGGCCATTGCATCATTTCTGACTTACGGCAATCCAAGGAGTTAATGATATCCCAAAAGGTCTCTTAGGTCTTGCCAAATCAAGGCTGTGGCTTCCTTTTTGAGTTAAACCATTGCATCTTCCTCATTTCCTGCTGCCTTCCCCTTTTGCCAGAGTTATGGCTTGGGTCAGTGAGTGTCGTCTTCTCGGGAGGCACCCTGAAGTCCAACAACCTCCAGTTTAATTGTATTTTGTCACTCCCTACTTTACCTTTAAAGCTTTGATGCGTGTCAGGGAGCCACATTTCCGGAAAAGCCCTTCAATATGAAGATGGGGCCGAAGCAGTTCGCAAGCATCGACAAGGAACCTTGGGGGTGATGAAAGCAAAGAAAGAGGAATGGTGTAGATTGGTTCTTAACCTTGGGTTACTCAGGAGTTTTGGACTGCAACTCCCAGAAGCCTTCACCACCAACTGTGCTGGCTGGGGTTTCTGGGAGTTGCAGTTCAAAAACATCCGAGTAACAAAGGTTAAGAACCACTGAACAACCAGAATGTGGAAAGTGACTTTTAAAAGGTAACCTGTTCCTGTTAGTCACGACAAGTCTTCTTCAGAGCTCCCTGGTTTGTATTCGTGAAGGCTCCCTGGTTGTTACCAGTTACAATGATAATAAAGTAACTTATGTTCATTTGTTGCATTGCCTGTTCCCAATTAATTTGGAAGCGCAGGCCCTAAAGCAAGGTCCTCCCAGGAAATCAGAAGACCCATGGGGCCGCTGTGTTAGATCATATCCACAAGCCACCTTTAGCACTTCTCAGCTCCACTAGGAGGAGGTCTTTTGTAAGGCCAACGGCTCTCAGTGCCTATTTGAGACAAAGCCACTCAAAAGCGCTTTTGCATCACAACATTATTCATTCAGGACATCCAACACTGAACCCTTCCCCTGATTGTCTGTGGAGGGATCAGGGGAAGTGAAATTCTTTTTTTTCACATCTGCTAGAGCATTACTGAAGCAATGAATCGCTTTGTTTAAATTAAAACATTTCTCTGTTGTTGTTTTTGCTTGTCTCAATATCACCGATCAAAAGCACAGCTGTGGGCAGTTCCTTGATGATCTGGGGAAATGCCTGACTGACAGCAAATCAGGCTACCAAGAGTAATTTGCAAAATGACACATTGCTCTTTTACCCTGACCTCCTCCGACCCTCTAAAGCCCGATCCAGCCGCTCACACCAAGTGTGGATCAGGCACTCAGACAGCAACCGGGTGGGCGGCTGCTCAAAATTACTCACTGTGGCACGCCTTCTGCACGCTCAGAAAGGGGAAGGGAGTGGAGCGGGACACCAAACAGGCCACCAGCAAGAGGAGCCGATCTGTGGTTCTCCTGGAAGAAAACAAACTCTGATTAAACTGTCTAGCGGCCATCCTGGTATTTTGGAATGGTGACCGCTTTCTGCGCGACGGTAATGCTGCGGAAACTGCAGCAGACGCGCCTGTACCGCGATCTTGCTGCTTTTCACAAAAGCCCTTGAGGTCTGCAAGGACAGAGTTTGAAGACATTCATTTCGGACTACAAGTCCCATGCCAGCTGCGGGGATTCTGGGAGAGGTCAAGGCACCATCCTTGGGTCAGGCACGCAGCATTTGGCAAGGGCTGCTGAAACTGACCATTTTTAAAACTGCCACTTATGGCAGCTGACTGGGGGGATGCTGGATATTACAGGCCCCCCTCCCCAGAAAAACTCAAAATTGCGGCAAGAAAATTAGGTCCGCTTCAACACCTGTACATTTTCACCCTCTGCTAAAGAGTTCAGACAATGTCCTTGCGCACGGCACTCACCTGGCTGGTAGGGTTGGCCTTCCACAGCTGGGCATGAACGCCGCGCCTCTTAAGATAGTGGATGATGGCCGGGAGGTGCTCTCTTTCCTCCAAACTAGACATGGTTGTGGTGCAGCTGAATCGACTTCACCCTATAAACCTGCATAACCAAACTCAACCTCCCCCCAAAACAGAAAAGTGTAGAAAGTTGTTGGAGGGGGGAGGAGAGAGACAAAAGATTTGGGACAAAACTGTGCGATAACAGGCCACGTTCCCTTGGGAGAAGCCGCGTGGGCAACCAAGACGCTCAGTTTTCAATAGCCACAGTCAACCTGTGTCCTAGCAAATGGTTTCATCCCAAGTAGGAAAACCATTTCTGTTGCTTTCCGGGTTAATTTAACTACTGAGATTACATTTCAGGAGCCCAAAGTGGTGGATTAATCTTTAGTGCAAAAATAATAATAATAATAAAAAATCAAACCTCGGTTTTCATTTCATACCGCCCTCCCTCCCTGTTTGTTCTACCTGCGAAGATATGAAAGAAAGAAATGAGGCAAAGAAGTCCCTTTCCAGCCACCCTCTGGGTTTTCCCCTTAAGAAAACCCAGCAAGATTGAAAACCTTGCTTGGCTTTTGAAGGCGCTTGGTTCAAGCGAGATTTGATCTATGCCTCCTTTCCACCAATTTCATCTCTCCCTGCCAGAGAAACCTTCCTAAGCAACACACCTGCCCCCCCCACTTACAATATCTTGGGGGGATAAAGGGGGAAACTGGGCTAGTCCGAATAGAAGCGATTCCTTTATAAGTTCCTTCTGGGAGAACAAGGAGGCGTTTAAAGCAACATCAGTCTTTTGAAAATGCAGATGGATCTTGAATGGGGAGGAACACCCCTAGTGGTGCAAAAGCTAGAGGGTTAAAGGCATCGAGTACCAAAATCAGAACAGTGGTTTCCTAAGGGAGCCAGGGAAACGAGCGTGGCCTCATGAACTACAGATGAGCTGAGGGTCAGCCAAGGACCCCTTGCAACCAGAGATAGTCAAGTTACTTTTTTTGATTGCCAACTCATCGCAGTAACAACCACCTACTTTTTGGGCTTTTTCAGCAGTTGGCGCTTTCCAAGGAAATGTTCTCACCTGCTCCTGTTTTGCAGACTTTAAGCTGCTGATTAAAAGAGGGGGTGGGTGGGAACAGTGGTTTGTTTTAAAGTTGGCAACACGGAGCCCTCTTAGATGGTCTCCCCTTTTTGCAGCCAAACTCCAAAGAATCTAGAAGCCTCCAGCGATACCCAATCAGAACACAAACACGTATTTTATTCGCTTAAAAACAACTAGAGGCTGGAAGGGGATCGGTTTCACACTACAGCTCCCATGCTGCTTGGGGGATTCTGGGAGATGTAGTCTGAAAAGTGACCTTTCCGACTGCGGAAAACAGAGACCCAATGCCTTTTCCACTTATTTATTTTCTGATCTTCTTTGGGGGCTAGTGTAAAAAAGAAGAAAGGAGCCATGAAATCATATAAAATAGACAAGGAACTAAAGCAGGTCAATTGCATTCCACAGGGTGGCCACATACACACACACAAAAAGGTTAAATAAGGCTTCTGGGTCTTTTGCAGTGGGGACCGGAGCAAATTTCAGCAGATGCAGCTTGTCAGCTGAAATACCCGTTTCCCTGGAATGTTTAAAAGTACAGTGTCCAGCCTATAGGTTTGTTGTTCAGGGCCTGTCAAGTCCCCTACGACTGACGATGACCCTATGAATGAGCCATCTCTAAAGCATCTTGTCCTCAACGTCATCCCATCTCTAAAGCATCTTGTCCTCAACGTCGTTGCTCAGCTCTTATGAATTCAAGCCTGTGGCTTCCTTTTAGGGAGTCAGACCATCCCGTATTGGGTCTTCCTCTTTTCCTGCCACCTTCCACCTTTGCCAGAAAATCCTGCCTTCTCATGAGGTGCCCAATGTAGGACGGCCTCCGTTCCGTAATTTTTGCTTCCAGAGATTGTTTGGGCTTGATTCAGTCTAGAACCCACTGGTTTGTCTTTCTGGCCATCCATGGTATCCGCAAATCTCTCCCCCAGCACCACCTTTCAAATAAATCATCCCCCCCCCCATTCAGCTTTCTTTAACTGTCCAGTTTTCACACTCCCCAGCACCACCTTTCAAATAAATCATCCCCACTTCCCACCCCCGTTTAGCTTTCTTTAGCTGTCCAGTTTTCACACTCCGGTGATCAGAAATACAAGAGTGTTGATGATCTTGGTCTGCAAAGAGACGTCGTTACTCTTGAACGTTTCCAGTTCTTTCTTGGCTGCCCATCCAAGTCTCAGCTTTCCTCTGGGACTGCAGACAGCATTTGAATGGATGATTGACCCAAGGTATGCAAAACCTCTAATCATTTCAATTCCTTCATTGTCAAAGCCTACGTATACACATCCATAATTGTCTTCTACGTACAGTACTCTCAATTTAATAACGACTATTGCAATCTGTTTTCAAAATTCACTAAGTGGCCTCATTATTCTTAACTATGATATGACCCTTTCCTTCGTTTTAAAAGCCAAAATACCTGATCAGGTGGTCGAAGATATGCTCAATGTCTTTCAGCTTTCAGTTCTGCTCCTGGCTTTGAAATAGAAACCAGGTTTAGGAACGGAGGAAGAGTTGGCGGAGATGTGAAAAGTTTTTGGGATTAAAAGACAGAATGCCCCGGACTCCATCACCAGTGGCAGTGGGGAAAGTAACTTTTTTTTGTGACTCTAACAACTGCTGGCCCATGCAGAGAATCGAAGTCATAATCCTAAAAAAAGTACCGGTTCTCCTCTTTCAAACTGAGAGAGAATAATAAACATTAGAATTCTGTCATTCCAGTCCTGAAGCAGCTGTTGGAATGATTCGTGTAGGGAAGAGCAGTATTTTCCATGTTCAAAATCCACCTCCCTCCTGTCCCCAGGTAAGCCTATAATGTACCTTGGTTGTTTCATTTCCCCCTCTTTACCCACCATGGGACAGATAGATATTTAAAGACAGAGCTTTACACCTCACAAATGCAGAGGAACATAGAGACCTTCCCTGTTGGATTTCTGCCTTCCAGAAAGCTGCTGAGGGCATGGGAATCCTGCTTGTATTAAACACGCACACACCCACCCAAAACAAGGCTGTTCAATCTCTGACAGAATTCTGCTCTAACGTTTATCCCCCCCCTTGCATGCATGCACGCATGCATGTCTGTCCACACACGCCACATCACATGCGCAACCCAGTCAGTTCCTTTTAATTGCATGTCAGCAGAAAGGCGACCGGTTCCTTTTGAGTCAGCCGGCTTGCGGAAAGGCAGCGGGCTGCTTGGAGCACAGCTTGCCTTTGCACGGGGTGGAATTTGTGGTTGTAGCAGCAACAGCAGCACGACAATGAGCCAGAGCCTTTTCTGCTAGAAAACCCCAAGGAATCCCCGAATCAGATCAGACCAAACACCAGGACAACTGTAGGGGTGAGCCAGACAAATGATGATCCGTCGGGAGAGCAAGCGGTAAGGAGAACGCCTTGAAACTTCCTTTTAAAAAAAACTCTTTGGGGTTTTCTTGGTTTTAGATGTGTTCCATGTCTGGGAACACCTCCCACGATTCAGCCGTGGCGGCTGGGGATTCTGGCTGCTGTCTTCCAAAAGTCACCTTCCCAAAACCTGGGATTTCCCAAGCTTCCTATAATTTAGGTTACAGAATTATGAATTTGGATTTTTTTCCCCCTGTTCTGATTTTGGAAAGTACAGGTTTTGTCACCCTTTCTGGGCTCGCTGTCAGACGCAAGGCGGGCTCTCTCTGTTTACTGTCAAGGTGACCACATTAAAACCGGTTTGTGACAAGCCAGAAAATCTGCAGGGGAAGCTTTTAAAAGATAGATACCTTTCCCAAATCCCCCTTTGCACCCAGAGGGTGGAAAATCTTAAAAATATCTAATCGGAGAGATTTGTAACCGGAGCCTTTGCATGTTTTAAGGGTTGTGCCTTAACTTCAGGAGAGAGCTTACAAGTATCTCTGCACAGGGTTGCATTTAACTGCAATAGTCACACCCTTCTCTTACCTCCTTGTAAGATCTGCAGAGTTGCTCAGATTCCTTGTTTTTAAAACCTGTGTCAAGAAACAGAAAACAAGACCTTTTTTTTTTCTAAAGTCACAGCCGGCAATTTTTGGTCTTCCAATGTTTTTGGACGCCACGCTCCCAGAATTGCTTGGCCAGAACGGTTGACGGTGAGGGATTCTGAGAATTCAAATCCAAAACATTTTGGGGGGATTGAAATTTTAAAAAAAAGCAATCTAAAGTGTGCCGGTTAAAGGGGATATGTCTGCAGGGGTACTTCACCCTGGAATGGAGCAGCGAGAGAAGCATCCCAGTGCAGAAATTGTGACAATCGGTTTATGAATTCACGTCTCCTTACACGGCCAGTGCAGGAAGGCAGAGCACAGGTTGACATCAGGTGCAGGAGACGAGAGAACTCCACAGAGGAGGTGAAATCAGTTGCGAGAGCCGAGAAGGTGTGTGTGTGTGTCATGAGGATTGATTTTTTGCTGCCTGAACAAGGCTATGACACACATAAGACACCGCTCTACCTTTTCCTTCTTGTACAGGTTGCTTGGAACCCCAGTATTCTTTGGGGTACAAATGGGGAATCTGAGATGGGCATCCCGGGATCTTCTAGATCAGAAGTTCCCAAACGTGGCTTATCCTGGGGTGTTCCTGGACTGCAATTCCCAGAAGCCTTCACCACCAACTGCTTCTGGGAGTTGCGGTCCAAGAACAGCCCCCAAGGTTGGCAACTGCTGTACTGGTTCTTAACCTTTGTTACTCAAATGTTTTTGGACTGCAACTCCCAGAAGCCTTCACCATCAGCTCTGTTGGCTGAGGTTTCTGGGAGTTGCAGTTCGAAAACACCTAACAAAGGTTAAGAACCACTGTAATGTAAACAACTGGGTACCACAATCTGCTGTGACATTTCACAGAATCCCAGGTGCTCCTCTTTAGCTGTGGGCTGCAACCATTTCAGAAGGTACTGGACATGCTGGCGGGAGGAGAGACTCAAGATGTGCGTTTTAATGATTGGTTTTCATCCCACCACATTCCTGATGAGCAGATTTGTGATATTTCGGAACCCCAAGCTCAGTGGTTCCACGCCTGATCTTTAAGCACCTTTTCCCTAGGTGGCTGGCTTGCAAAGGTGCTGAGCCCTTGCACAGGCTCCCTTGCAGCTCAGGTTGAGCAGTGTTTCATCTGCAGGATGTTTCAAGCCGAAGGAGGAGCTGATGTTCAGTAAAGGAATTCTGCTGTGGCCCAGCAATTCAGAGTTTTGCATGGCTTAATTCTCAATGAGACGAAAAGCTGCAGAAGGGGCTTCCTTTGGCCCATTAAGCTTGGCCCAGTGGAGGGCAAAAAGACTAGCAAAGGGCAGAAGCTGGCCCAAAGTCGGGAGAAGAGATGCCCAGCACAGAGAGAGAGCAGCCTTTCCTCGGGGGAGATCTTGCTGCCCAAGCATGAAGGGCTTCGCTGGGTTGTATGTGTCTCGGTGTGCACAACCGCTCAAAGTGTGCAGGGAAGTTGGGCCAGGAGGAAGGAAGTTCCCTTCGTTATAGTTTAGGGCTTCCGAGCACAGCTGATGGAGGGGCGGTGTGTTCTCAGAGACAAGCAAGCCAAATATGGGAACAGGGGTCTTCGGACAGGCGATGGGGGCACCCAGGAGCTGGCGTGTCAATTATTTTGGAAGCTGTTGGGTCAGACAAGGTCAGGGGAAAACATCATAGATTTAAAACCTCCAGTTTATGGGATCACCGTGGCAGGATTCAGAGTTTGCAGATGTTTTTTCTTTCTTTGGAATACAAGTCCCACATCCGGACTGGGGGATTCTAGGATCATTAGTAAGGCAAGCAGGTACCCTGGTGCCCACGTTTTGGGGTCCTTGTGACATCACTGGGGAACAATCCCTGATGCAATCATTGCAAAACAGACTGCGTCTGCTGCCAGCATGTCAGTTCCAGGAGCAGATGCTGCAGCTGCTCCTTGGTGGCTAAATCAGCAGCACCCCCTTCTCTGAGATCTGGGGTCCAGAGTCTGAGACCCCAAGAACGGACTCCAAAACCTAAGCCCAATGGTCAAAAAAGGAGAACCCAAAACCTAAGCCTGGAAGTCCACAGACCGAAGTAGACCGTTTGCAAGATCTGTCTTTTGCACGTGTTGGAAGTAACGTCAGAACGGCACCGCTGGAAAGGACCCTACGGCTGATCTGAGTCCGGCCCTTGCCTGCCCCCGAGACAACACAAAGCAGATTCGCAATAGCCTGCCGTGTGTGTTGTGTCTGCCCGGTCTCATGGTTGATGCCACGCCACCAGAGAGAGAAGGGCTGCCACCTTGCTCATTTTTAAAAGTCGCCCGACTAGGTTCTGACGCTCTGGACACAATGCCGTTCGTTGTTGCTTTAAAGCTCGCTCTGCTCGTAGGAAGCAAGAGGGACTGCGTTTCCCCGTTTGCGTGAGGTTGAAAAGCAGACATTTCCAGTTTCCAGATAACTGGGATTATTTTTAATTCCCTCATTGATATTTGGAGGGACCTGCCACCTTAAGACCTGGTTGGTTTCTAACTGCTGATGAGAAATGTACAGGCATTGAATGCGGAGCAGAGTGGTTTTTATTTATCCCATTTCTTCCTTTCTCTCCTTCTTGCTCAGAGCTCACCTTAAGTAGCAGGAATGGGGGTGGGGTTTTATATCCTTCTCAGTCTTCCTCACAGGGTCGTTGTGAACCTGGTGCAGTGCGGCGGCAGCTTCGGCCAAGGCATCCACCCGGCCAGACGTCATTAATGGGTGGCAGGTCTTGTTATCTCTCTTGGCCCTTGACCTCTCTGGTGAGCCAGGCCTTTGTCTTCCTGTGTAGCTCTCCACTCTCCAGATGCTTTGGACTACAACCCCTATCATCCACGGTCAGCCTAGGAAGTCCCTTCCGCCCATGCTAGAACACTTCTTTTTCATATGTGGGAATACCCTTTTCCAACAGTGGCTTCGTCGGACTCATGATGAGCCTCTGGCTTCGGCCAATTTTTAAAAGATCCACTTCTTTTTGCAGGAAATCACGAGTCGAAGCCCCCAACGGGACGGACGCCAGCCCCGTTCCGGGTACCGGGGGCAAGATCCACCGGCGGAAGAGCCGGCGGCGCATGACCTGTCCAAACCCCCGGGAAATCAACCAGGCCTTGGCCTCCATCTCGCTGGGAGAGCTGAACCGGTCTTGTACCTTGGAGGAGTTGGTGGAGAAGTGCCTTCGCTCCTTCGGTAACCTGCCCTGATGGAGGCGGGAGGGAGGAGAAGGCATGGCCAAGGGGGGGGGGTGTGCTTCCGCGAACCAGACACAGGCTTTCTGGGGATGGATCCGCAGATCGCCATAGGTTAGAGCCAACTCAATGGCACAAGAGTTCTTATTTTATGATTAATTAATTAAATAAATATATATTCCAAATGGACAACACTAGATTTAGCCACACTGGGGAGCAGAGAATATTTCTAAGAATAGTCTCTCTCTCTCCCACACACATCCACACATCTACTAGTATTCTCTCCCACACGCACACACACACACACACCTACTAGTACTGACAACACAGTGTGTTAATGACACGCAGCACAATGAACGACAGTAATTGCGCACTCCGAGTAACAATGAGAATTAACAGCAATCTGCCTGCAGAGATCAAAAGGGCAATGGGATGAGTTCCTTTCCAAGTTTAATTTTCCAAACTATGAGTTCAGGGACATCTGCTAACTTTATCCCCATCCCGGATTGATTGCTATGCTCACGAGCTTCCCCGGATCAGCCTAGAGTTTCTCTGTCCATTCTGTCTGTGAGCTTATGCTTTCTAATTTTTCTCTTCCGCTCTAGACTCGGAAGGGAATCTGTGCACCAGCGACTTCACTGTGAACATGACGTTAACCGTTCACAGTTGGGTGGTTTCGTCGGCCGAGCTGGCCCATCTCCTCCTCACGTTATATCCTTTTAGAGGGCAACTCTGGACTGCTCAAGGTTTCAAAAAGCCATTTTTGCACTGCTCCTGAAATGTCTGTTGTTCTGTGCTTTCAAGTCGGCCGACTCATTGCAACCCTGATGGGCTGGCTTCTCAAGGTCAAGGAGATATTTAAGGGGTGGCTTTCCCAGTTCCACACCCCCAGTGACTTCCCCTGGCTGAGCGGGGATTTGAAACCTCTTCTCCAGAGTCCTAGTCGGTTGCTCGATCCACTGCACCATGCAAGGTATCTCAAAATGTGCTTTGGTGAAACACAATGTGATGCACAAGGAGAGATTTGTGCCTTACCAGAAAGACAACAAATTGTGTTCTTAATCAAGCCTGAGCACTCATGACAAATTAAAACAGCAAAATCTGTTGATAGGAGAGGGTGCCAACTGCAAAATACTCTGAATTAATTGTTCATTTGTTTGTTCTTCCCTTTTCCTTTCTTGTTATTCTTCCATTGTTTAGACTATTTATTTGTTTGCTCGTTTGTTTCAACTTATATACTGCCCCATACTACACTTGGAACCATATCTAGTCTAGATGGTTTACAATATATTTATTATTGCTGTTGTTATTATTTTTAATCCTATTATTTATTGTTTTGATGCACACAAACCGATACACTGTACCGTCATGGTACATGCATGCAGAATTTGCAAAGGTGCCACTACACAGCTTCCCCGGTGATCCGCATCTGGACATGTTTCTACAGACACCCTTGGGTTGTGTAATCTAATTCTCTGTTGCCAGGTTATCACCTCTTCTAGCTTGAAAAAGGAAATGCTCTTTTCAGGTCCCTTAGAGAGGGCACTGACTTTAGGAAGTCACTCTGCAAGCTTGCCAGGGGAATAGATTCCAGCACGTTAGGAAACCCTCCCCCCCATCTCTGGAGCCTTTATCCAGCAAATTCAGAGAGATGACTCTTAACTCAATCTTCTACATACCGAGAAGCGGCCAAGAGGAAACAGCAGGAGCGCCAGCTGCGGATCTGTCACTTCATCCGGTCTGAGTTCTTCATCCATTCCCCTCATCCATCCCTCTCATCCATTCCCCTCATCCCACCCCTTCCCTCCTGGCCAGAAGCATCCTTTCGCCCAATGGGTAGAGGAGTGGGCCTCACCTGCACCTCCCGGCTGAACTTTCTGCTCTGGCCTTCAGGTACTGGCTCACCAACTTTCCAGAGGCCTTCCACCTTGACCCACACCTGGAGGAAGCGGTGGCTGAGATCGTGGAGGTGGTGAGGAAAGAAGGCAGCGAGGAACACCGCCGCCTGCTTGACATGTCCAGCGCGTAAGTCCGACTCCCTCTTGCCTCAGGCATTACCCTGAATCTTAAAAGTGGAGCTGAGTGGCAGGGGAAAGGGAAGGCACCCCCCTGTGGCTTTGTATCGCAAAACCAAGTACACTAATTTCCACAGTGCAGGAGTCCGGTGAGAAAATCTCCTGCTCTGACACTCAGATGCTTTCAGGAGTTAAGGAATTTCCTCTTCTAATGATGAGTGGGCTATAATGTCATTATGCATCCCTTAGTGCTATGTTCCTGTAGTTTGTTGCCCTTAGATGTTCAACCCACACCTCCTCCTTTGCGGATTCCTAGAATTTGGGCTCTTCGTTAATTGCTCCTCTACAAATCCTGTTCTCTGTTACTCCTACAAAGAGAAGAACCCAGGATTTCTGGCTTCTCAGTGTCTCTGCTGTCTAGGTACCCCTGCCTCTACTGCCACCAAGCTAACTCATGTACCTCCTTCCCTAGAAGCCTCTGTATTTCCAGGCGAGGGGTTCCTCGGAGCAAATAAAGGGAGTTTCGGCACCTCGCTCAGTCTTTCTGGACGTGCTTTCTTCCAGAGCGACTCACACGTGGAACCGTTCACTCAGCTGCCAAGGCAGCCCCGGCTGCGGCAAGAAAAGAAAAGTCTCTCTGCTTTTTGATCACCTTGACGCCGACGAACTGGCCAACCACCTCAGCTACCTCGAGTTCAAGGTCTTCTGCCGCCTGTCGGTAGGGATAGCCTCCAACGTGTTCCGTAGGGTCGTGTCGCTTTTGACGTTTACCAACCCTATGAATCGGGGATACTGTATCTCTAAGGGGGCCACTGGTCAACAGCCCCACTCAGATTTTGCAAACTTCTCAGTCTGTGGCTTCTGTTACTAAGTGGATCCCTCTCTTTTCCTGCTACCTCTACTTCTGCTAGCATTACTGTCTTTTCCGGCAAGCCCAAAGTACAATCACCTCCGTTTAGTGATGCTTGCTTCTAGACAGCAACATCTAGAGAGTGCCATTCCCCGTAGGAGCTGAATGTAACCCACCCACTACCATATTCAGCATGATGATCCCAAGGGGATAATAGAAACTGTAGTCCAACACCTCAGGAGGGCGTGACGTTGGAAAGGCTTTAGCCAGATAGCCAGTTCCCTGGCTAATTAGAAAGCCTTCTGGCCAGTATCCTCTTGTGGCTCCCAATTAGAGTAGATGCACTGACTCAATGATATTTACAAAAGTGTCAATTTATCATTCAGTTGATTCAGTAGCTGAAATCTAGGAGCAAGCCCACTGACTTAATGGAAACCCTAGAGAAATTGATTCATCAAATTCCCACTCATTCAGTGGGCCTACTCTAGTTGCAATTTACTGCTGGCTTTCACCCACTAGAACTACTTTGGGATCATACTGTCGTTTTGGGGTTACAGCTGCAGAGGAATTGATTCATCAAATTCCCACTCATTCAGTGGGCCTACTCTAATTGCAATTTACTGCTAGCTCCACTGGATCTACAGTACTTTAAGACCATACTATTGTTTTGGGGTTACAGCTGCCCCTTATCATGATCCCAAACCATAGTTAAGATCACAGGGAGAAACTGATAGTCATTTATGGCAATTGTCACTTTCTTGACCTTTGTGGGTTGAAATGAGGCTCGGCCAACCTTCTCGGCCAACTACCAGGCCTGGTGAATCATGCTTAAAATGCTCCTGCGGAAGTTACGGCCGGCCGCCCTCTCTATCTGCATGTCTGGTTTCTGAGGATGGGAGTGGCAAGTCTCCAGCTAAAAATGTCCTGCCCCAAAGGGAAGCAAAGACAGGGTTTCTAGCGAAATGGCCAAAATCTGTCAACAGTTCTAACTCAACGCCTGCGTTAAGTCAAGCTTCTAGTTCTTGGTCAGGCCACTGTAGCCGAAAGCAAGGGAGATGCCATATCAGATCAGAAGCTGGGGTGCGCCTTATACTTTAGCCTCATCATCACGATGGGCAGCTAGTACTGAATTCTGCCACCAGTTAAGGGAAGGGAAACATTAGTTGTCTGGGTTGTGGAACACCAAAGGATAGAAGCAGCCAGTCTTCCGCCCTATGGCCCAGCTCTACAGTTGGAAAAGGGGAAATATTTGTGTCAGGGACAAAACCGATGAAAGGGGAAGCTTTGCAATTAGGAGCAGTACCGACCTAATCAGTAAAGAATGTAGAATTATTCTCTAAAGTCTTTTGCTGCTATGTCTGTGGCAAACTAATCAGTTTTTGTTTGATGATTGATCATCCAGAGGAAACAACGGGCTCTGTCTGCGTGTTGATGGCATTGACTCCGAATTACAAAACTGCCCATTTGATCTGTTTTGGATAGCTTAGGTACGCAGGGCTGCCTGCTCACAATGTGGACCACCAAGCCTAGGGCCGTGGATGACTGATTTTTCTTTCTCATATTCTGTTGTGATTGCTGCCCTTTTTTTGGAGGGGATGATTCTCCACTGCCTCGTCCCTGCTTTTTGGGCTAGTTTCGAGGACTCTAATAGGGCTGAATTGAGTCTAGCCCTAGAAATGGGAAATCGGACCCAAAAGACGTGGGTATTTTGGGGTTTGCAAAGAACCTGAACTCAAAAGAAGAGACCCCCAAAACGAAATAAATACTGAAGATTCCCCCTCCCCCCCCCAAACTGTCTTAATTTTAAACCATCCTCTTGTTATTTGCTTGGGCAGTACCTGGATTTCCGGAATTATGTGCTTCGCGGGGCTGTGCAGGGCAGTCCTGCGCTGGAACGTGCCATCGCTCTGTGCAACAGCATCTCCCAATGGGTGCAGGTGATGATCCTCAACCGGCCGACACCCCAGCAGCGAGCAGAAGTCTTCACCAAGTTCATTCGGGTTATTCAGGTAAGGCGGCAGCTTGCCATCCGGCCCGTTTTGCTGGAAGAGAAAGCCAGCAGAAAGTGGGGACAGAAGTCGGAGGATGAGAGGGGGCTGGAAACCTTTGCCCGAAGGGTGGAAAAACGCTCGGCATGTATGGTCCATGGAAGAGAGGGCGAAAAGGCAGACGAGATGGCAGCCTTTAAACATCTGAAGACGGGATTATTCAGGGAGAACCGAGGGGTTTCCCCAAGCAGGAGGGTTTAACTAGACCTTAGCCACCAGATCCAAATTGCTAGGACTTTGAACGAGGACGGCGAATTCTGGAAGAAAAGGATTTGTTGCTCTTATGGGGATGTGAGACAGAGACCACATGAGCATCTGGTCCACTGCATAGCCCGTTGGCTTTTGGGTACGCCCAGGGGAAGATCTCAGCCGTTTGGTTCTGTTGGGAGATTGGATGGTTGGTGCCCAGCACAAAGGATGTCTATGTTGGCCTAAGGGGGAAAAGCTTTTCAAAAAGGCGAGCTTATTTAGAACTGCTCTGCTTTTCAGGCAGTTGGCTCCTAAAGCCATCCATCTGAGTTGCCTTTCTGTGCTTCTGTGGCTGCTTGCTCAGTTGCAAACGAACATACACGCCACCCCAAAATGCATGCGCTAACACATTATTAGCAGGGATGGAAGGATTCGGTGGGAACGAAGGATGTTCTGCGGAGAGACTCAAAGACACCTGAGGAGCTCTGGCAGCGACAGTAGGAAAACAATCAAAGAAAAGAACTTGTCTAACCTCTGGGACTAATTGCTTAGCTCATCATCCTATCCAGTCTCTCTCCTCTGGGTTTCAAAAACTGCTCAGAGGAAAAGCTAAGCCCTAAGAAATTAAGGTTCAAGGAATGGAAGGGCAAATGTTTTTTTTTTAATATTTGTCACTCATAAGATGTTTGGAAGGGACCTTAGGATAATTTTAACTTTAGAGCGGCAGAGCTGAAAGGGACTCCCAGAGATCATCCAGTCCAGCCCCATCAAGGAGGTGCATTGGGGAATCAAACTCCCAACCTCTGGCTCTGCAGCTGGAGACCTACACCACTGACCTATCCTGCCTGCTTGACTTCTTCCTCACGGCACCCGTTTTTGCTCTTCCTCCTCTTCCAGAAATTACGGCAGATGCAGAACTTCAACACGCTCATGGCTGTTGTGGGCGGCCTCTGCCACAGCGCCATCGCTCGCCTCAAGGACACGCACGCTCTCCTTCCCACAGAAGCCACCAAGGTAGAGAACTGGCCACTCCTGGCCCAGGAAGGGGAGGGTGGAGGACTTCAGCCAGAAGAACTCGATAGAAAATGGGCCAATTCCTCCTTCCTCTAAAAGAACACCTGGACTTCTGAAATTCCAAACTTTGCCGCCTGGAGAGGTTGCTTTCCAAAGAAAGCAACTTCTTCAAAATCTTCTAATAACCCAATATTTGCTGCCTGACATGCTTGGGTTGGATGTTTGGAACAACGCCTGGATTGCTGCTGAAAGCCATATTAAATGATCTTTGTTAGCCCATGTAAATAAGATCTGGTGCATGACACGGGATCCTCCTGGCTGACCCCAACTGCCCTCCTTCCCTCTCCTCTCCACGCAGGTGTTGTCCGAAATGACGGAGTTGCTCTCCTCGAGTGGAAATTATGGGTCGTACCGGCGGGCATATGCCAACTGCGACGGCTTCAAGATCCCCATCGTGGGCGTCCACCTCAAAGATCTCGTGATGCTGCACGAGGCCTTCCCGGACCGGGTGGAAGGCGGCCGACTCAACTTGAGCAAGCTGCAGAGTCTCTACGAGCCGGCGTGGGAGCTTCGGATGCTACAGCAAGCCGAGCCCCCGTTCCAAGCCAACAAAGATCTGGTCCACCTCCTCACGGTAAGGGACCGTCCCCCTCCTAGCCAAGATCAGGGAGGGGGGGAGCTGTGGAGACCCACAGGTATGGGGGGGTGTTTGGGTCCGTGAGCTGTAGAGAGACATCGGACACATGAGACTCCTGGAGACATGACAGAGGGTCAAAGGATGCCTTCCAGATTTATTTTTGTGACAGCCGCTCCCAGGAGCCCCTCGCCCTTGGCTAAGACAGCTAGGGCTGCTGGGCATTGTAGTCCCTTGACCTCGGGAAGGCTGCCCTTGGCTCATCTCTTGCCATCGGGGAAAGACCGGATGCGACCAGCTTAGAGCAACCACCAACAGGATCACTCTGTTGAGGGGTCAGCTAGAAGCAGGGTGGAATAGGGGCTGCAAATACCGTTGCTTAGCAACCGCTGCCCTAAGGCCTAGCCCTAGAGTGTGGAAACTTCCCCCCTCGGACTACGATTCCCATATTCCCGCAAAAGTGCCTAAGGCGATGACCTAGCCCTAGAGTGTGGAAACTTCCCCCCCCCCTCAGACTACGATTCCCATATTCCTGCAAAAGGGCCTAAGGCGATGAAGGCTGCAGGACGCTGGGGGGGGGGGTCACCGTCCCTAAAAAGCGGCCTTTCCACATTCTGGGAGTTTCTTACGTGACTCAGTCTTTGTAAGCCCTGGGGTTGCTTAGCAACCGCGACGGGACGACTACCGCTGGGGAAATTGAGTCATCCCGATTGCATGGCCCTACAGGAGGTTAAATCCTGCATGTCCTAACCCAGATCTCTGAGGTTTCCTCTGTACTCATGCTTCTTCATGTTCAGCCGCACACACCTAGCCTTTTGCTCCAGAGGTTGCTTAGCAACCAGAGTCAAGGAAGCCACCGGCATCTTTCAGGCCTGGACCAGCCCTACCGTTGGGGCGCAGCGCCAATGGAGCATCAGGAAAAAGCTCAGCACGTGGCTGTGGGCTATTCTCTCCCCCCGTGGCTTTTGGGGGCTGCGAATAGCGTTGGCTTCTCCGTCTCAGGCAGCGAAACGGGTTGAGCCAAACCCATTGCCTCTCCGGCAGGGGTCGGCACCTCTTGGCCGATCCGAGGACCAATTCTGACACACGCACACCTCTCAGCACCTGCTGTGGGCTGCGCACGGACTGGAAATGTGCTTTGAGCGCTCTCGTTTTCCAAAACAGGAAAGAAGTAGAAATTCACTTTTGGTTTCAACCCGTTCCTCTGAAAAAGGCCAGACATAAACAACAGCAAAGTCTTGCAAAGAGGTTCCCAAGAACGTAATTTCTTTCTTTTTTTTTTGAGGGATCAAAAAAACAAGTCTTGATCTCTGTATATATGGACGGGAGCATGGGGAGGCATGAAGCGGGAAAGGCAGAGGACCGAACTAAAACAGATGTTCCCCGTGGACATCTATGGGCTTGTTGGACTGTAGCCCACGAAAATAAATCCAAAGCTGGCAGAAGTAACATCTAGTCAGTTTCTCTTTCTGGAATATAAGGTCTCGGGTGGCGAGGTACATGATCCTTCAGCTCCGTCACCGAAACACTTTAGACTGGTTCATGTACCCGTCGCATTAGCCAAAGGAGGAACGGAGATGAACAGATTTCTGGCCAAAAAGCAATGGGAGGCAAACAACTGACGTGGAAAGCTTTCCTTAATGCGAGAATCGTTTTTTCTGCCTCTTCCAGCTCTCTCTTGATCTCTACTATACGGATGAAGAAATCTACACTCTCTCATATGCCCGGGAGCCTCGCTACCCGAAGTCACTGGTAAGAGGGCCACAAAACCAATGTGGGAAATTTTTTTAAAAAAATTAGCCATTTCCCAGTGCTTTCCTAATCATCCCTCCTCTTTCTCTTTTCTTCTCTCTGTGAAGCCTGCTGCACCCTTCAAACCTCCTGTGGTTCTGGAGTGGGCGCCCCGAGTGACCCCCAAGCCTGACCGCATTACCATCAGGCGGCATGTCCAGGAAATGGTTGAGGTAAGCTCTTGCCAAAGGTGCGGCCGCGAGGAAGAGTTTGAGCAAGAGGATGGCGTTGCCGGCTTTCTCGAGCCTTGATACGGTTCATAGAAGTCAAGAGCACATTTTCCTGAGACGCGATTCCTTCAAACCTCCATGGCCGAGCAGTCCGCTTGCCAAGGAGGCCTGTGCTTACTTCCTGGTGGCCCATCTCAAAGTGAAAACAAGCTTATTGGGCACATGCAGATCTGAGGAAAGATTATGCTAGGATAATGAGGCATCTCTGAAGGGGGTTACCTTGTCTATTAATTCACTTGTGTGACACATTGATCTTCCGTATTGCTTCTACTGATCTCAAGGCAGGGTACGTGGCTCACCTCCTCCTTGCTTTATCCTCACAGCCGGTTCATGAGGTAGGTTACAATGAACACAAGCCACCCAAAGGTTGCTTCACGTCGGGGTTTGAAACCCGGTCTTCTGAGTCCCACTCCTTACATTGTGGCTAGTAAAACCCTGATCTGTCCGGTTGTGTCACGGCACGATTGCACGCCTTCCGTTCTTGGACGGTGGCCATTATTCCTCGTGCTTCGCTCGGGTCTGGTTAGTTTGGGGTTTGTGGCACACGGCGCCGTGATCTGGTATCACGTTTTGTTGCTCTATGACCCCAGAGAAAGCAGGAGGGCCCCCCCTCCGAATCAACGTGTCTTCCCGCTCTTCTCCTCCCCTTTCTGTGAAGGAAGAGGCTCAAAATCCGGCCACTTCAACCACTTCCTTTTCTGCAAATAAAAGTTTGCTTCTGAGGAGGGCTGGGTGGGGGAAGGGGGTGGTGGAGGAACATGAAAAGAGCACCCTGCTTGTTGCTTTCTCACAGATGAAAACTGGAGCATGCTGGTGACACCCTTGTGCTCACCCCAGAAATGGCGATGCGCTTCAGAACCCCCCCCCCAGCCTGCCGTATTCAGGAGCTCACTGAGCTACTGCAACTGTCCGAAAGCCACCAACCTGCAAGGTTTCTCTTCCCTAAAGAGCAGAAAAACGCAGGGCCAGTTCTTTCTTGGGACTGTGCACAGGAGTGGTGCTAAATCGGAGGCGTGTGGCCTTCCATAGGGTACACCATCGTTCCTATATCAGGGACAGACCTCTGTGACCCTCTAGATGCTTGAAGAAGACTGCAATACTGGACATGCTTCATCACAGGCAATGTTGGGTAGAGCTGACGGAAGCTGAAGGCCCCACTAAATTCACTAGGGCTGCACCGGTCCACCCTTTGCAATGAGTTAAGGCAAGCTGAGAGGCCTTACAGCATTGTGACAAATAGGCTGTTGTTATCCAAGTTCTCTTAAAAAATAAATAAATTGTGCTTGGCCAACTTAATTCCAAGTGACCTTATCGCCCGTTTTTCTTTCTCTCTTTCCTTGCCCTTTAGACGGTGTTCAAGAATTATGACCCCGAACAACAGGGCTATATCTCCCAGGAAGATTTTGAGACCGTTTCCACCAGTTTTCCCTTTGCCTTCTACGGGGTTGAAAAAGAGCGGTAAGCGATCGTGCGCAGAAAGGCGTCGTGAGGATGGGAGACAGAACCCTGGGCGTGTATTGGAAGAGAATCTGGGCAGAAAGAAATCTCTTATTGGGATTAAGACCCTAGAATCCTCTTCAGAGGAGGGCTTGATTTAGCTTCCTCCCGCTCTCCTAAAATCCTTGCAAATCAGTCCTGGTGCAGCCGGCAGTTGTCCTGCATCTGGATAGTGCATGGGTTCACGCTGTAACTCTGCAACTATCAAGGTGGGACTGACAAAGGCACAGCAGAAGCTTCCGATGGAGGCCTGAAAACTTACCAGGAGCTCTTCTAGATTTCTCCAAAAAGCAGAGATAAGGAAGGGTTCATGTCCTGAAGCCTCCATGGGGGACGTCTTGCCACTTGGTTCCATCTGATGAATCTGGAGTGAGAATTCTCTCCTTGAATCAAGAGGTCCAGAGCATTATAGTGCCCTAACGTACCCGAGCAGCAGTCGCTAGGTTTCTCCCCAAACTAAGAACCCCGGCCCTTCTTAGGAGGCAGCCACGGCGGTTAACATGGAACCAAACAGCTGCCATGGGGTAGGCTAGTTACACGCCTGCCTTTTTCTGTTCCCGGTGGCCCCCACAGCAAACGAACCTGGAGCAGGGAAGAGCTCTCGGACTACTTCATGCGGGCCTGCGCGATCGTCTCCAAGCTGGGCCTGGGCTACCTGCACGACTTCCACGAGGCCACCTTCAAGAAGCCCACCTTTTGCGACAGCTGCAATGGCTTTGTGAGTTTGCAAATCTCCGATGCCACCGGTGGCGGCGGCAAAATTAAGAGGGTGGCACCCGATCTGAAATCGCGTGGAGAATCACTTTAAGGAGGGGTAGGAGAACTCGGTCATCCGGTGGGCTGTAGTAGCGGAGTGATGGACTAGGAATATCTGGATCTGAATCCCTTCCTGAACACGGAAACTCACCGTGTGGGCAGGGGGGGGGCTGGTAAAACCTTAAATATCTTCCTTATCTATTAGGGTTGCTAGACGTCACTTCTGACTAACAGAACTCTGTAGAAAGCACATTTTCTTCCCTTTGGTATCGCTGCCCTTGCAGATTCTGTAACTACTTTTATGGGTATTTACTATGGTCATGAGGACTAGAAGCCCAATTACCTTTTAGGAAACAAAAGTACGAATTCTGAGAAGGCTGAGGGCTTCTCGCAGAGCCCTCAATGGCATTCCCACAGATGTCACGAGAAGGACTGCACCTAACAGCTGCCTTTTCTGTTCTCTGTGCCTTTTTTGTTTCAGCTATGGGGCGTCTCCAAGCAGGGATACCGATGTCGAGGTAAGCCTGCCCCCTGCTGGGCTATTTTTACTCTCTCCGATGCTCACTAAAATCAAGGTGGTTGCTCCTTTGGATCAGGGGCAAAGGGGGAGCCTCGAGCAACCCAGAAATGTCGGACCACAAGCTCAGCATCTAGGGCCCCCAAACCTTTGCCAGGCTGGGAGAACCTGCAGCCCCAAACTTCCGCAACAAGCTCAGCATCTAGGGCCCCATAACCTTTGCTAGGCTGGGAGAACCTGCAGCCCCAAACCTCCGCGGGGGTCAAAGGATTTCCACTGCGGATCAGGAGCGCTCGTCAAAGATGCGGCTGCTGTTCCATGAGAAGCTGCAGCCTCTTCTTCGCTGGGACCTGGCTCTTCACAACACTGATCCTTGTACGCAGTGTCCATGCTTTATGGCTGCAGATCCGACCTCAGAGCCATGCCAGAGGCTGGTTTGGCCTTCTCACTGTGGAAACAACTGCTGGTGCTTCCTTAAACGCCTGCACCTCTTTTCTGCCATGGTTTTTCCCCAAGGTGCATCTGAAAACAAATATGGGACTCTACACAGGTGTAAGAGAGCATCAGGTGCATCCGTTGTGCATGGGATCCTATCCCACACATGTCATCTTCTATGTAGGAAAATCCCCTGAAATCCAGCAGGGTTTACTCTTTGGAAAGGATGTTTGCTAGCGGCGTACTTCATTCCCCATCACAGACCACAGGATGACTGAAAGCAGTTCACCTCACATGTGATGCAGAAATTTCGCACACTACACCATTCTCAGTATTTAAGTCTTATGGCAAGGGTAAATATTACAAGATTATGGCCCCTGTGATATATCCATTAAAAAATATTTGGGGGACCTAAGCCTCCTAGGCAGTTGGTTGGACTCTTTAACGCTCAAAGCGTGCTGAAGAAACAAAAATCTGGGTTTAATTTTGTGTTGCCCTGCAGATCAACCCATGTTACTTCGTGTAATATGGATACGTAGGCATAGATTTCTAAAAGTCATGGGTGACAGATCACGACCTAAAATGGAGAGGAAGGGCTGGTTATAAGCTGCTGGTACTCATGGACTGAACCCACCCGCA